AATGAATTAAGTAATTTAATAGTAATTTTTTTTATTAAAAATAAAAAATTCTAAGTTTAAGTTATGACCTACAATTAAAGTAAAAATAAAAAATAAAAGATAATTATCTTTTTGTTAAACCATCAATATATATATATAAAAGTTGTCGTTGTCCTGTAGTACAATTATTTGACTCAACTGGTTCCAGGTTTGAGGGTTATCAACACAACCACATAACCTTTACACTAGAGATATTCTCTTACATACCACATTTTGATTTTCACAAAGGTTTAAGTGGGGAAGGGAAAGTTTGGTCTACAGTTCTAGCAGAAGACGTGCGGAATAACATTAAATTTTCTGTCTTCAAGAACTCTCTCTCTTTTTTTTTTTTGGCTGAACTGAACCCAATCAGAAGGGATCAGATAAAGTGAGAATTCCAATCTGTCTATGGTTAATTTGGTCATATCGACCTATGTTCTGTGTTTCAATTACAATGAGACGGTAGGATAGGCTTTGTATTAAGGAACTGATATTTTTTTGAAGGAAAGTAAGGCTGCTGAATTGTAGAAGATTTTTGCAGCAGGAAAGGTTGTAGTCCTGACAGAAGTAAAAATTTTGATACTTATTAACAATTATACAAAGATACACATGCTGGTTCACATATGTTGATGACATTGACATTATTTATAGAGAGAGCATACATAGAATATATTATCTTGGGTTTCTATTCATAAAAGAAAATAAATACATAGGGTTGTCTTTCGTTTTCTGCTACAGAATAGACACAGAAGCCACCTTATCTCTTCTCAGGAAATTCTTGAACCAGTGTGCCGAAAGTTTAGGGTGTCTTTTCAATCCATCTTTGTAATCTACATAGTGTAAACCAAATCGTACGGTATAACCATTACCCCATTCAAAGTTGTCCAATAATGACCATGCAAAGTAGCCCTTGACATTGACACCACCCCTACATGGCCACATAAGTCGTGCCATGAGGAAAATTGCTCATAAACAATGTCTTTTTGTGCGCATGGAGAAGAGAGAGAGAGAGAGAGGCACTTACTTTATGGCATTTTGAAGGAAAGAAAGATGCTGATGGAAGTAGTTAACCCTATTGCTGTCAACAAGTGCTTCCTCTAGTGATAATGTGGCATCATTAATCTCATCAATCCCTACAATATGGTCAAAGAAAGGTGTTTTTCTTTTGTAAGGTGAAAACATTTAATCATTGTCAATGAGCAATATAATGAATGATGGCTATCTGTTCAAACCTACAATCAAGACTTTACATTGGACCTCCTAGAGAGCATCCAAGTCACTAAGGCGCAGAAAATCAACTGACAGTACAGGGGCATCACATCTGTAAACATCAAGATCTAAATTTCCAGCTTTCTAGTTTACCCTTAGCAGATTGGCATAAATATAACTCTCTCCTTCCCTTTAAGTGAATATATCTAAACCCACCCTTTGCACCAAAATTGAAACTTTGCATGGAACCACCATGCTTCCTAACTCCTTGTTCAAGAATATAGAGAGGTTATTGCCCGACTTTCAAATTACTAGATGACCTTCCCCCTTACGTGACACTAACGTAAAAATGATCAACTTTACATACCATTCTCAGTGATATAAATAAGTGGATTGTTGTACTTCCTTTTTGTGTAAAGCAAAAGATCTTCAAATCCTCTAGGATACACAAAAAGCCAATTTGAACCAGCCTGCAATAGTTAGTATAAAGAAAAGGAAATTAGTATAAAGGAAAGGAAATTAGAAAACTTTGTGGCGTCATTCTACAAAAATTCTACAATCTATGTTTCCTTTTCCACTGAACAGAACCATTTTGAAAAGATTTGGTTGAGGTTCCTCACCCACCTGTGGACCAATTGGGATCCCCTGCTTCTCAGCTGCCAAGAAATGTTTGAGATTGCATTTAGTCACCAAAAAACTAATAGTCCTTGATTCAGGTTTTAGGATCCTTACTTGTAAGATCAGCAAGAGAATCTGTTAAGTAGCTCTTCCTTCCATTTTTAAGCCTAGGTGCATCGGCTGCATAATTGGAAGTATAGTAGTTTAACCCCACGAAATCAAACGACCCTTTAAGCATCTCTGATTCATCTTTGGAGAATTTTGGTAAACGCCTTCCAACAAGTGCTTGCATGTTCTTGGGATATTGCCCTTTTGTTATGGGGTCCATGCACCTACAAACATAAGTACCATAACCACCAAAATCAGTACTTTCAAACCCTACTCCCCAATAAAGAGAAGCCCAGAAAAAAATTGCCTAAAACTTACCATCCCAACATAAAATCAAGTGCTCTTTTTGCGGCATTCTTGTGTTGCGTTGAATTCGATAATGGAACCATCCAATGTGATATCAGGGTGATCCCTATCAGACCCTTTTGTTCTTTCTGCATCAATTCAATCTCAGGTTATGATATCATGAAGATTGCTATTAATTCTTTGTATGCTAATATCGGGTCTTGTTGTATGACCTGATATTTTTGCCTGTACAGGTTTACAGCAGCTGCATGAGCAAGAAGCTGGTGGTGGATCACCAGATACGGCTCTGTTCCTGAATCTCCACCAGTGCAATTCAGTTGCTGCCAATCGGAGCAACGACCTGGTGCCCAAGCTCCGTTAGAGTATCCCCAAGCGCTAAAGGTCCAGGGCTCATTGAGGGTGATCCAATGATTCACTCTGTCACCAAATTCCCAGAAGCAAACCTCTGCATAGTCTCTAAAATCATCCCTGAAGATAACAAACAACAATCTGTTTAGTCAAAAAATAGCAGACAAGGCCTGCAAGTCATATACAATGCTGAAAATTCAAAACTTACACGATCTTAGGACTCAAGAAACCACCATATTCATCTTCTAAGGCTTGGGGAACATCCCAGTGGAAGATAGTAACAAAAGGCTGTATGCCTGCATATTCA